CTTCGGCCACAACAACCCCAGGCGACGCTACAGGCTTGGGGCGGTGTGGCTGGAGGACTGCATAGAGGAAATGGACCTGGGGGTATTGATTGATGCTCGGCTGAATATGAGCCGACAGTGTGCCCAGGTGGCCAAGAAGGCCAATGGCATCCTGGCTTGCATCAGAAACAGTGTTGCAAGCAGGAGCAGAGAGGTGATTGTTCCCTTGTATTCAGCACTGGTGAGGCCGCACCTCGAGTACTGTGTCCAGTTTTGGGCCCCTCACTGCAAGAAAGATATTGAGGCCCTGGAACGTGTTCAAAGGAGGGCAACAAAGCTGGTGAGGGGTCTGGAACACAGGCCATATGAGGAGAGGCTGAAGGAGCTGGGAATGTTCAGCCTGGAGAAGAGGAGGCTCAGGGGAGACCTCATTGCTCTCTATAACTTCCTGAAGGGAGGTTGTAGTGAGCTGGGGGTCGGCCTCTTCTCTCGTGTCATTAGTGATAGGACCAGGGGGAATGGCTTCAAGCTACAGCAGGGGAGATTCAGGCTGGACATTAGGAAGTATTACTTTTCAGAAAGGGTGGTCAGGCACTGGAACGGACTGCCCAGGGAGGTGGTGGAATCACCGACCCTGGGGGTGTTCAAGGAAAGACTGGATGTTGTGTTGAGGGACATGGTTTAGTAGGAGCTATTGGGAATAGGTGAACGGTTGGACTGGGTGATCTTTTAGGTCTTTTCCAACCTTGGTGATTCTATGATTCTATGATTCTATGATAACACTCAGTCTGATGACACAGAAAAGAACTTCTGCCACAAATGCATAGTTCTAGTGTTATTTTGGCTTCCTGACTTTCAAACCATTTGTCTGGACTATCCACTGCTCGTTGACAGTTAGAGGTCAAGGGAAAAGCTTCCTAGCGTTAACATTTTAATACCAGTTCATTTCAGGTATCAACACTCATACCTCTCTCTAGCTCCACAGCAGGATTTACAATCATAGCAACATTTCTCAGAAGGGATCTCTGTAAGTTTTCAGCCCAACCTACCACTCCAAGAAAGGCAAGAACAGTCACTAGACAGGGTCAGCCATGACTGTTGTGCTAAGACTTGGAAACACCTAAGCATGGGTGCTCTGCCACCTCCCTGTTGTTCCTGCTTGCTGCATAAGTATCTATACATTATTATTTTAAACACTGCTAAAAAATAAATTAAACCTCTCTGGCAAATTGCTTCATGGTTTGCTCATCCAGACACATGAACCAATGGTGTGTAGTGCACTATGAAGAGCACCAGATTCCTTGGCCAAACATAGACACAGAAAACCCTTAAAACTCAAGATTCTCTGGATATATTTAAAATCCAGGTATTCTCAAGTTTCTGATGAAGCATGTCTTTATGCTCCTCTCCCTCACTGTATTTACTGATAGTCCCCTGGTCCTAGAGTCTCTTGTGTTGCAAATATTTTCAAACAAAAGCTTTTGTATTGGCATCAAAATGGCTGCTCCCTGCCTGATTATACTACCAGTGTAATTAATGCTTAAGGCAGTTACATTTTTGTGATTGAGTAGAGGTTCAATGTGGCGCTGAAATCTTGCCTCTGAAGCCCAGGAGAGTTATAGCGTTGGTTTCTGAGACAAGACAGTGTCCCATTTCTTCTCTGCAATTAAAAACAACCACTGAGTTTCAGATAATACTAGAGGTCAAAATATCCAAGTGCTATAGAATATATTTAACTACATACAATTGGTACCTACTTAAAAGGCCTTAGAAAATTGCACGTTATACAAACCAATCAAGCTTTCAAGGTTTACTCTGCAACTAAAACATCTTAACCAGAAATATAATCTAATTCTCTACAGGTCACATACAAGAATACAGATGGCTACAGGTAAACACACTCAGTTAATACCGGTTGGCATTCACTCAGACCTTATTCCAGGGTTCTCAAAATACTTTACAAACAATGACCAGCCTTTTTCATAAAGGAGGGATATCTGTAGCTTGCATTTATTTTTACACAGGGTAAATTAAGACTGAGGGTCAGGGCTGTAATCAGAAACAGAAAGGCAGGACCTGGGGCCCCAGTTTTTACATAGCTCACCTTCTAATTAGAGTTATGCATGTACAACAAACAGAAACTCTAATTGGGAGTTCTCCAATTAAACAAATCCTCTAAGAAAGCTATATGCATATTTTCAAGGCTGGAAAAGAAAACATTTTAGGATACTGAGCAAGCAACTGCATGAAACTTAGCTTTCTTATTGAGCTGAGTGGTTCAAGAACTCTAAATTTTGAAGTCTTAACTGGATTTGTAAGCTTTTTGTAAAGGACTGGCTTCACGATGTAAAGGCAATAAAAGATTCACCATAAAAAGTTCCCCAATGTTCTGTACCTTTTAGTTTTTATCATTATTGCAATGTATAAAGAAATATTAATTTCCCAGAGAGACTCTGAAAACACCTTTCTTTTCTGGGCAAATGAGGTACAGAAACAAAAAGAAATGCTGAAGAACAGGAGTGCTCATTAGGCACAGACTTGTACTCAGCCTTCAGTTTAGCAGACAGGCAGTTTAACCCACACACAACAGCTTTTTCTCTTCCTAAGTTTTCTGACCAGTGGCCTTGCTGATGGAACTTGGTTACTTCTAGCAAGTTTTCTTCCATGCATCCTTCTGATAGAATGATTTAGAGCTACTTCTTATTGTTATTGCTGCTGTTTTCACTAGATATGACATTGCTTCATTCAGCACTGCATAGTAACAAAGAAACAAAAAAAAGAACAGTTTGGCTGGAACAACAGGAGCATAATGTCAGGCCTAATTCAACGAAGCTGGTGCAGGAATGCTTAAAATGGCAAAAAGAAAAAACATCTCATCAGAGGGGAAAACAGAAATGGTCAAACCTATGGAAACCAGACAACACGAGATATGCAAAGGCAGATTTAAGCATCATCCCAGTTCCACAGACATTCTGGTAGAATTAGCAGGCAGAAAGGGAATCAGTGGATACCCACTACACTTGTCAGATTCTAGGAGGCATCTTCAACCTTTATAACACGGTGGATAATTTAATGTCTCTGGAAGATACCTGTTTGCAATGCTGTGGGCACTAGGTCTTTTTGTCAGAAAAGCTTTCCCAGCCTAGTTTTCATCACAAAGACTCTCTCCCATATGATATAAGTCAAGATCTTCAAAGAACTCTGCAACTCTTACCTTCTGGGACCATAACAGGGTGGGAAATGAGTTAGCAACACTGTGAAGCACGTACCATAGAAGCTAAGATATAACCCAAAGCACTACAGAATCGGAAAAATAAGTATGACAGTAAATCTAAATGAATGCATGAAAAATGAGAAGTGATCTTTTTCAAGAACAATGGGTCATGCCAGACAGCCTAGAAAATTTGTGCAAAATCACAGGATAAATGCACAAAGGGAAAGCAACAGATCATATTTTACAGAAACATTTATGGTTTGGTGGGTGGAAAAAGGTTTTTTCGACAGATTTTTACAGACCTAATCAAACCCAGAAAGTTCAAATGTTTCTTTTTGCCTATACTTAGTGCTACTTTATAGATAGTATTTTGCTTTAATTTAATTTATCGAGACTTTAATGAGACTTTGGTACTTTACTGCCTGGAAAATTATTACTGACACTAGAAATATGGTGCCTGGTTATGAATACTGCAATGAAGATATGAAGTCGCCAGACATATTGTAAACAGAGCATAATTACAGTATTTACAGTTGAACATCAAAATGGGAAGAGATGCCAAGAGGCATTTCTCAGAAGTTAATATTGGGAATTATACAATCTAGTATCTTCCCTAACAATTTGGAAAATGAAGTGAATTGTATATTGATTGAATACACGGTAGACACAAGAAGATGAACTACAACACAGCAGGTGGGAAGGTTGAAAAAACACACAAAAAAACAACCAGCAACAGAAAGATTTGGAGGACTAAAAGAGAGAAGGGTGCAGTTAAGAGGGAAGCTGTTTAATATAGAAAAATGTAGAATAAGAAGCTTGGAAAAAATGAACACCCATCTCATGTAACCAAATGGGAAAATGCCAGTTTTCATTAAAAAAAAAATTCCAAAAGATTTCACAGTTTATTCACACTGAAAATTCACACTGGGGTATATGCATCAGGTTTGACAACTTGTTTGCTATGTTCCAGCCTGATGTGATTTTAAAAGAAAGAATAATATATTTTCTTAAAAACATGTCTCTTAAAATAAATTTTAACTTATTTTAAATGTGTATGGAATGCTCATAAAAGACCTAATTTATAATCTTACTTGCAGAAATAACATTATAATGTAATATCAGAGACACAGAAGAAGCACATGAGAGGTTAAAGGTGGGGGCCAGGAAGCCAAGGCCTATCTATCTCTGATACTTCAAGGAGTTTTAAGTGTTCACATAGTATAGCAAAATCCATGAAATACTAGGCTGCAACTAATTTGCTGATTTTAATTAATTTAAAGCTCAGCTGTACCTTGAGGAAAGCTACTACTGTATAAAGGAAAGTAGGATTCTGAGGAATGCAAAGGGAAAAAAAAAACCTGAACAAATACTGAAACAAGCTTGCTGCTTTACATGACTACTGTATACATTAATGAACCTTAAATATCATCTGTAGGACAGAAACTGTCAAAAGAATCTATCCTGGCAATAAAATTAACCTGTAATTATATAAACTTACTAAGTGTTGAAAACAGACTTTATGACAGAAAAAGATCTGCAAGGACTATATTAAAGAACTCCTCCTGGGTAAGAGTCTAGAGTACTCTATCTTTCCCCCATCATTTTTTTATTAACAATACCCATTCTGTACAAGCATATAATTTTGTCACAAGAGTGATTCATTACAAGACAATATATAAAACTTTATCAAATTGAGTACTACTTTTCTTCCTAACACAGCAATCCAAATATGGCTGAATGCATACAAAATGGCTGATGCGATAGCAATCAACAATATTTTTTAATGTATGCTATAAAACCTGCTTACCAAGGGGAGCCATATATTCTGAATCCCCTCACGGTCACTTCAGAGTCTTGAAGATAGATGCAGTTTGTTAGAAGAGACTGTACATTTTCATAGCTCTCTGGCTTCAGCTTAGAAACAGAGGGGAAATAGTAAAAGTCCTGCTTGATTAAGTCAGCCATGAATTCCTGGTCAAAGGTCAATTCATGATTTCCTGCTATCACAATCTTGTATTCATAGGGCAGGCTACCTAAAACAGTGAAAAACAAACAAATTACTTGTTTTATGGAAAATCCGATCAAAGAAAATAGGCAGACTCACAAACTATTATCGATTCCTATAATAGGCTCACATAGTCAAAACAATTGAGCACATTCCTTCTCAGTGTTACTATAATTCCTGGTGATTTCGGGTAAATGACATTGCTGTCTTCTTCAGGGCACAGTACGATTTAGCTTGCTTAGCATTATTGTGTTGAAACTACTTTCAACTCATCATCCTTAAATAACAGTCTGCAGACTTCTGCTCTAGTATTTACTTCCCTTTAATTGCCATTTGCGTTGCAAGTATCACTTACTGTGACAGCCATGACAACTCAGTGACAGAAATTAGGGTTCAAAGGAAACCAGCCACAATGCTCAATAAATTATCCCAGTTCTCATTCCCTAGCCCTGCGGTCATTGCCAGCTTGCACTGACAAAGTCTCACTGACTAAAGGCTTGGGTCACCCATGGGTCTGCTGCCCTCCCTGCCCCAATATGAAGACCAAGACTTCAAACAAGACAGGCCTTGAGCTTCACTGTCAGAACTCCACATCCCCCAGAGATTCCTAGCTTTTCACAGCTCTATTTTCTCACTGACTTCCTTGGATCCATGGTCTATAATTTAAAGTGACTCATGTTTAAGAATATTTTACAACTCACAGTTAGTGAAAAACCTAACAGCAACCTCCTGCCTAAGGCAAGAGTACATATCCCCCCACACGTGTTTTCTCCTGAAAGCAATACTGCAAGAGAACCCTTCCACCTGACTCCACTTTGGTTATCAGCTGGACTCTGCCCATAAAGCAGGGATCACCTGTCCTAGAAGACTTCTGCTGAGTGCTTTATGTGCATTTGAGAGAAAACCTACAGGGTTTTTATGTCACCAGTCCATACGTGTGGTAGGAGTTAGCATCAGTAGGATGAAAGATAAAATCCAACAGTGGGATTCAGAGCTCCAGAAAGAGGAGAGAACGGAAACACTAGCCCAGAAACGTATATAAATGGCTGAACTCAGTGTCTTCTGAATGAAAATATCTGCATGACTCCTTCGTATTCATTTCAGACATTTCTGACTTTATTATTAGGAAAATTGATCTTACCATCCCGCTTGTGGACCCAATACATCTGTGCTTTTAGAAAATGTATTAAGGGAAACTCTGTTCGGGTATTAATTATTACACACAGACTCAATTATTCATGTGAAAGACTTCTTGAAATGTAAATACTGCATTTTTTGTTTCTGAAATGCTTCATGCTTCACTTTTTGCAGATGTATACTCCATTTCCACATTTCTGTGTGCACACATACACAAGTTTTAAATGTTTTTTACGTGCTGCATAATGTAAGGTCATCTACAGGACTTAAAGCATTCTGAGGAAAATAAGGAGAGAAAAAAAAAAAAGAAAAGAAATCCAGCATGCCACAACATTGTTAACAATTCCATTTCTATTCTGTTTTGTAAATCTTTTCCAGCTCATCTGATCCATCCATCTAGCAGCCAAGAACCTGTATGAGCTGGTTATAGTTGTTGCTTCCACTAATGTATTTATGTCATGTTGCTGTCTGTGGGTGTTACATAGGCAAATTAGCAAATTACTCTGAATGTACAGTTACATTTATTATAGTGGCGGCCAGCAGCACTGCTGTAGTTACAGGTCTGTCAGCTTTTCAATTAACAATTCTGTTTTTGATGAGTTTGCAGCTCAGTTTTTTTTTTTTTTCCTCTTTCTTTTCCTTTCATTCCATACCAGGCAGCAACTTGCTAAACCAATTTCTCTCCTTTGTCTCCACTAGCTCTCTCTACCCTCTGTCTAACACACTGAGGTAATTCTTTCTGCTTGCACATAAATTTAACAGTATTTTGTTTCAATTTTGTCCTTAGAAGACTTACAAACATGCTTCACACCAAGCACTCTTACAGTACCAACTTAACCTTAGAAGGAAATCTTTGAAACCTTGCTCTTGGCTGGGCACCGCTGTCATGAACTATATGTAGAAGATGTATAAGACCCTCAGCTCTCAGATCACAGTACTGATTATATACATTTCCTGCCTTTCTAGTATGACGAATATTTACCAGTACTCACAGTCCACATGCAGAAGTCAGCACTGAATACTACACATATGTGCATTAAAGGTACAATCCCCTTACCATTAACCTCAAAGGCGCCACTACCTTACTGTAGTAGAAACACAATCCAATGTGGTGTGTGAATGCAATCCTGAAAAATTTTTAATGTTCTGAGTGTCTTCTACGGCCTTAAGATCCACCAAATACTATCGATATCTGATATTTAACTGAAAACTACCTTAGAATAGCAACTTTCTTTCCTTCTCCTGACCTACAGCATAATACTTTTTCTCGTTATATTTTGTTATTTAAATAGTTTTGTATTTTTTTATTCTAGTACATCCTTCCAACGCAAACACATGGTTTTCCAACCCTAGGCACAGACTATGGCATACTCTATAGCTCTGGCTTGGACTATGGCTGGACCAAGACCTCTCCAAGAGTACACAGCACAGTAACCTGGAATTTTCATACATGCCCATATTTTGAGAACAACCACTTTTTCATCTATTATCTTTTGTGTCACCAGTTTTGAATTCAGATTCTTCCAGGCTGATCGCTTGATCCTGCACCTTGTAGTGGGTACTAATGGCAAGCTGGGCATAAATAACTTCAAGCACACTTTCTGTCCCTTGTTAAACAAGCTGAGCTAAGAATGTTGAATTCACAGTCATGAAAGCTTTCATGGCTTGGCAAGAATGATTCCTACCTAAGACAGCAGTAGCTACAAACTAGCCAATGCAGCCTTCCTCTTCCTTTTACAGATTCCACGAAAATAAGCCTTACTAAAGGCAATGGCTAGCATTTTGATTTGCTGTTTTCCTTTTTTTTTCCTTTCGTTTTTCCCTTTTATTTCAAAAACAGTAATACACTAAAAAGCAAGTTCCTACCACTCAGCCACATAGCCACCAGTGATACCATCAGAGTGGCTTTGAATGCATATAGGGCTGACCAAGAGCTCTGGGGTAATGGTTGGAGATGGGGCCCCGGGGGCATCTCCTCAATCCTTCCAGTGAGGGGGCTAGGAGCTCAGGTGGGAGTGGTGCATCCCATCATCAGTCTGAGTATAGCAGAAGCTGAAAGCAGAGCTCCCACTTTTATTGCCAAGGGACCCTTTCTGAAGAATAAGGGCTGCTGTGCGGGATGATCTGAGGTCCCCTCCATCCTGGGTGTCTGTAAGTCTGCATTGGCAAACGAATGAGAATTTTAAAGAGCCTGCAATGCTGTAAGAAATTAAATACTCATTCCATGTGATTCTAATGAAACAAATCTATAGTAAACAAGCAATTTAACAAGGACTAGAAAGTATATTCCATTAACTTCTGTATAAGTTTCTCGCATTATCCATTTAGCAGGTGAGAAGGACTAAATACTCGACTGATAGCCAATTAACATTTGATGCTAGCATATGGCTTTGCTGGTGGGCAGGTAGCAAACTTCATTTTAGTACAGGAACTCTATGCATACAAAGATATTAAAGAAAACTTATGGTTGTCACAGGAGTTCTGCACACATATCCAGGACAAAATTCATTCCCCTCTGAAATAAGTCAGCAAGCATGTAAGAAATAGATCTGCCCTTCAGGAGTGCCAAAAAACACATGCAAGAACATATGCTATGGGAGTCAAAGATGATTTAAAAAAAAAAAAAGTTATGAATTTGGGGAAAATATGTATTTTTTTCATGATTTCTTATTTTGATTAGTCAAATCAAGACAAGTGATTTTGCCAAAGACATGGGATTACCGAGTTCTTCACACCTGAAAAGCTTCTGCTAAAATAGCTGCATAGCCTGGAGAGAAAATACAGCTAGACTGGTTGGAGAATTTCGCCTAAATAGTTTTCTGTATTAAAATCATTAAAATACCACTTGGATGAAATGAGATATATTTGGAAATTCATTTTATGGTTCTGACATTACCAAGGAAACAAAATGAAACAAAATGTCATTTAAAAATATTTTGGGGTGAATAAAAATTACACTTCTAAGCAAAACTTCACTTTTTTTTTTTTTTTCTTCAAAATAATTTTTCCCTCTCCTGGAATGCCTAACTTGTGAGAAATAAAAGAGTATTTTTCTCCATAATCAATCTTTTCATCCTATTTGGATTTGGAATCAACAGAAATGCTTAGACATCAAAATTCTGTCAGAAACACATTGGCTCCAATTCAGTCCTGGGTTTCAGGGCTTTCTCTTTTAGGACACATCCAGTATTTGCTTTCTGCCAATTTGGAATGGAGCTCCAAGCACAAGCAATGACCCACTCTTTCAGCCACTATCTAAACATGGGTTAACAGATTATTTTTCTTTCCTTTCCCTTCTCTGCTACATGATTCTTTATCTTTTTTTCTTCATTTTTCCTTCTTTTTTTTTTTTTTTTTTCACAATTCTCTTTTGTATGCAGAAAAATGCCAGAGTCGCATTTTCATGCACTTGATTTAGTAGCTTCAGAAAAGGGTATATTTTTCTTTCTTTTACAAATACAAAACCATTGCACCTTACAATTCTGTACCTTTGTTTCTCAGCATCCCTCTGAAAATGCCCACCAGATTTAAAAGTCATTTACTACAATAGGCAGAGGAGTGGAGGCCTCAAAAATAATTACATTCCTTTGAGTTTCCTGGAAGTAAGTGCCTAATAAGACTCATGTACAATCTGGAAGAGAGGCTTACGAAGGATGACTACTTTTATGAGATGCCCTAAGATCCCACAGAAAATCTTCAAGACAAAATCTAAGAAGCCAGGCAGCAGTGGTTCTACTCCCAGAGCAACTCATCACACAAAAAAATCTGTCCCAAATCTCCTGAATAAACATATGTATGTTGCTCCAAAAGCAATGCTTCCTATTTACTTCCATGGAAACTACATCAAATAGAAAGAGCACAATAACACTACTTGATAGAGGAAAATCTCAA